CCTACAGATTGAGTTTCCAAGCCAGGAAGGGTGTCTTGAGACCCTCTGGGTCAAGATACGAGGAAAACATGGGGAGGGAGATTTACTTGTAGGAGTCTACTATAGACCCCTCCCTCCCCCGCAAGAGAAAAACCGAGATCAGGAATTCAATAGGGAACTGATCGAAGCCACACGCTCTCAATATTTGGTCGTCATGGGACACTTCAACTTCCCTGACACTTCTTGGGATGAGCACACAGCCAAATCTGACAGGTTGCATAGCTTTCTCACATGCATTGATGACCTCTATCTAACCCAGGAGGTCTATGGACCAACTAGGGGAGAGGCATTGCTAGATCTGGTCCTGGCCAAAGGGGAGGAACTGGTGAGCAATTTGCGGATCAAGGGGAAGCTTGGCAACAGTGACTATGAATTGATCACCTTCTTAGTTCACCAAGCAGGCAAGCCCCTCAGTAAAACAGAAGTCCTTAACTTTTGGAAGGTTGACTTCTGCAAACTGAGAGAACTGATCAGTCAGGCAAACAGAGGCCATACTGCCCCTCAAAAAAGGAAGTACGTGAGGAATGTTCATTGCTCAAAAACATAATCCTTGAAGCACAGGGCAAAGCCCTCCCTTCTCGCAAGAAACAGTCAACAAGCAAGGAAGCCCCTATGGCTGAATAAGGAACTGTTGGACATCATTAAACTCATGAGAGTAGCCTACACCAGCTAGAAAACAGGAAGCATTACCAAAGAGGATTACTCTGCACTCACCCGCACCTGTGGGAAGCAGTCAAGAAAAGTCAAGGCACAAACCAAACTTAGGCTAGCTACGGGGATCAAGGACAACAAAAAAAGTCCTTCTTTAGATATGTGGGAAGTAGGAAAAAGAACAAGGACAGTATTGGGCCCCTGAGAGACCCAACAGAGCAACTGACATCAGGTGCCCAAGAAAAGGCCAATCTCCTAAATGACTTTTTTGCATTGGGTTTTCACCCTCCCAGGAGGATCACACTGCCAGAAATGGAAGAAACCAAACTGGGAGCGGGTGATGGGACCAAAACCAATGTGGATCAGGTAAGGGAACACCTTGAGAAACTGGACATTCACAAGTCTGTGGACCCAGATGGAATGCATCTGAGGGTCTTGAAATAGCTGGCAGACATCGTTGCATCCCCCTTGGCAGAGATTTTAAAAATCATGGCTCTCAGGGAAGTTCCCGGATGACTGGAAAAGAACCAATATGGTCCCTAACTACAAGAAAGGGTGGAGGGATGACCCAGGGAACTATAGACTAATCAGTCTGATGTCCATCCCTGGAAAAATCCTGGAGAGAATTGTCAAGGGATCCATCAATGCCACACGAATGGAAGGCATGCTTCTGAATGCCAGCCAACATGGCTTTGTGACTGACAGGTCTTGCCTGACCAAACTCATCTGCTTCCATGACCAGGTAACATGCCCTGGACAAGGGAGATGATGTGGATGTCATTTAACTGGACTTCAGAAAGGCCTTTGACCTAATTCCCCATGATGTCCTCATGGTTTAGCTGGGAAACTGTGGCCTCGATCATCATACATTCCGATGGCTAGACAACTTGCTATAGGGTCAAACCCAAATAGTACTAGTTGAAGGGAGCAAATCAACATGACACAGGGTTACCAGTGGAGTCCCTCAGGGCTTGGTACTGAGGCCAGTACTCTTTAACATTTTCATCAACGATCTAGATATGGAGGGCAGATGTGAACTGGCCAAGTTCGCGGACAATGCCAAATTATGGGGGAGGGCCATTACACTGGAGGACAGGCTGGGAATACAGGCTGACTTGGACACACTCTAAAGATGGGCCAACCAAAACCAGATGGCCTTCAAAGCAGAGGAATGCAAGATGCTGCACCTCGGTAGCAAGAACCTTCAGCATACTTACAGGCTCAGCAGTACTAAGCTCACTAGCACCATTGCCAAAAGGGACTTGGGTCTTGATAGACCACAAGATGAATATGAGCCCCAATATGATGTGGGCAAAGCTAAACAACATCTGGCATGCATCCACCAGTTTATCTCAAACAAAACCAGGGAAGTCATCCTCCTGCTTTACTCGACTTTGGTAAGACCACAGCTGAAGTACTGTATCCAGCCAGGTGCCTATCTACCCTCCTCTTGAAGACCTCCAAGTTAGGTGATAGTACCACCTCTCTTGGCAGCCTGTTCCAGATTCTGGCCACCCTTACTGTGAAAAATTTCTTCCTAATATCTAACTTGAATCTACTCTCCACTAGTTTGTACCCATTATTCCTAGTTACTCCTACGGGTGCCCTGGTAAATACCACATCTCCAACTCTTTGTTGTCCTCCCTTGATAAACTTATAGGCTGCTACAAGGTCTCCCCCTCAGACATCTCTTAGGAAGGCTAAAGAGATCCAGATCTCTCAGCCTTCCCTCATAGGGTTTTGTACAAAGGCCACCAATCATATGAGTAGCCCTCCTCTGGACCCCCTCCAGATTCTCTGCATCCCTCTTCAAGTGCTGTGCCCAGAACTGGACACAGTACACCAACTGCAGCCTGACCAATGCTGCATAGAGGGCGAGCATCACCTCTCTCTATCTGTTGGTCATGCATCTGCTAACGCACAATAAGGTGCAATTGGCTTTGTTGATGGCTTCATTACACTGTTGGCGCATGTTCATCTTGGAGTCAACTATGACTCCAAAATCCCTCTCAGCCACTGAGCTGCTGAGGAGGTCATCCCCCAACCTATAGGTGTGCTGGGGATTCCTCCTCCCTAGGTGGAGCTCCTTGCATTTGTCTTTGTTGAATTGAATCCTGTTTCATTCTGCCCATTGACCCAACCTGTCCAGATCAGCCTGAATCTGCTCCTGCCCTCCAGTGCTAACTTTGTCCCATAACTTGGTGTCATCTGCAAACTCACACAGGGTGCTCTCCACACCCTCATCCAAATCGCTGGTGAAGATATTAAATAATGTCAGTCCAAGGACCGACACTGCCCACCTCCTTCCAGGCTGAAAACGACCCATCCACCACCACTCTCTGGGTGCAGTCCCTAAGCCAGTTTGCCACCCACCTGACTGTGCAAGCATCCACTCCACAGCCTGCTAGCTTCCCTATGAGACTAGGATGAGAAACACTATCAAAGACCTTCTTAAAGTCCAGGTAGATGACATCGCCTCAGTTCCAGTGATAAGGCAGTGTGATACCTAGTTGTAAATGGCTATAAGGTTGGTCAGTCAGGACAATGTGCAGACTTTTTCTCCCCCAGTAAAAATGTCCACTTCAAGACAAAAAAAAATCTGTGAACAACTTGGGTTCACATAAAGAAAGAAGATACAAAGCTAAGGTGAAATTCTTTGCTATGTCTGATAAAGGAGGCCAAAATACATAATTCTTTGCCCTTTGGAAGTCTGACTCTAATGCATAATTGAATCAGAAATTAACGGAAAAATTTATAATTAGGTGGTTATTACGTTTTGTGGAAATCACTGCCCTGAAAGTTTCTCTTAGGAGAGTAAAGGTCTATACATGCTGTGGTTTGTCCCAGAAGAAAACATAGTCCTCCAGCATTCCCCACTCCCTTCCAAGGAGATGGTGTGTCCCTTGGTGGACTCCACTGCTTCAGCAGAGAGTAGAACATTCCCCCTTCATGATCCCCACATTGTGCTACAGGGAACACAGGCTGATCTAGGGCAGTCTGGGTCAGTCAATCAGAGCTGCTGCCAGGCAGCCTGAGGAAGCCTGCAAAGCATGCTGAGATGTGCTCCCTGGCTGCACAGTGTCAGCACTGCAAGCTCTCCACTTTTCAGGGGCTCAGCATACAAATGTTTGTATGTGCAGCTCTGGGTAGGCTTCTTTAACAGGAAAACAAACCTGAAAGAATTCTCCCAGATTATTTCAATGTGTATGCAGCCTTAGACCTCAAAGAAAATAAAGAATGCTACAGAAAGAGTCTGTGTTTTGGCAATGTTGGAATAGTACTGTAGCCATGATGATCCAGAAATTAGAAAAAAAACAAGGATTTGTGCGGGCGATATCTTTTGTTGGACCAACTGCATGTTTGGGATAAAGTTAGACAGGCTTTCAAATTCAAGGCATGCTTCATCAAGTCATCAGAAGAAGAATGCCTTGCATTCGAAAGCATGTCTAACTTCATTGTGACCATGCAGTTGGTGCAATAAAAGAGATCGCCCATAAAAATCCTTGCTTCTTACAGAAAGCATTCTAAATTTCACCTGAAGAGGAAATCTAGATCACAAATCATCAAAATACATAAGTATGTGCTTAAATTTTAATAGTTAGAAATTACACTACTTCAGTGCTTTAAAGGAAAGCATGTGTTTAAGTACTTTTGATTAAGAGTGAAACTTATCCAACAGAAAGGCCATCAGATAAATCAACTTGAGAAGACAAACCAGTATAATATTTTTTCTAGGAATTCAGATAGCAGATTTGGTCTGATACAACTTGCCAAATGCATTCCATCCTGTAATTTTTTCTCTATTCAGTATATTAACATCCTCAAACATACCAAAAGTAAACAAATGAAATCAAAGGATTGTTTATAGTACCTGATACTAGCTATCCAAGCACCTTGCGCTGATGCTGATGCTTGAAGTCATCCTTTGATAACTCCACACAGGTCTCAGTGCAGAATTCAGTACCAAGGCATAGAACAGAAATATTTATGCTGAGTTTTATGAATTTAGTCTAATTTCAAGCTTGTTTCCCAGCCTTGTGAACACTTTCACATACAAAGAACTTCAAAAACACAAGAAGCCTTCAACTTCAATTTTTTTTTTTTTAAAAGAAAGAGTTTTGTTTGTAAAATTTAATGAGACACACAAAACACAAAAGGATTAATTAATAAATAGATCATCTAGGATAATTTATACTTTTTCATTTTGTTTCATCATAATCCAATTATAAAAAGGCAACAATTTTTATTTTGCTTCTAAAACGGATTGATATAGATAACGCAATAACTGAAAAAATATAATACAAACATACTGCCTCTCCTGGGGATCCTTTTGTTCCCGGTTGCCCTGAAGGTCCAATTTCACCCTACAATTGAATACAAAGTCAGAAATATCTATGGAAAAATACTAATAAAAAGTCTTTTAAAACATTAGATTACCAGCACTGGATTAATAATGTAGCTATGATCATTCAGGAAACATGAAAGGGGCAAGTATTTTTTGGAACAGCTATATAGTTGGGAGAAATTGTTTTTGAAGTGTTAGAGGTGCAATTTGTTGTATTTTATATCACATATGTACTTTTCCTTGTTCCAGAAGGTAAGCAGGAGATTCTCAAATATTCCTAAAAGATTTAGGAACAGAAGTCCCCTCTGTTTTCAGTGTACTCCTAAAAATCTCTGCTATGAGGAATTTCCCCTCGAATCCTGAGGCCTTACTCATGCAACACTAAAAACCTACACTGATTTTAACTGTATCAAATTATTATGAATACCTTTTGTCCTTTCGTTCCTTGACTTCCAGGGATTCCAGGAATTCCCTAATGGAAAAAAAAGTTATAAACATATAAAATAGCTGCTCCAGAAAATAATATAATAAAAATGTTTTCATAAGTTTAATGTTTGTCATATGATTTGGTTAGAAATATGGGCAGGAAATAACAAAAGATTCAGCCTAGGAACATAAAACTACAACATCTGGGGAAAACAGTGAAACAGCAATATTTAGTGGCTCCCCAACTGCTTTTCTGCCAGTACTTGCAAGTGTGCAGGTGGGCAGGGTCATGACCTCACGCTTATCCTACCAATGGTAGAATGCTGGAGTGAAAATCCTGACTGAAACAGAGAAAGAAATTTCTTCTCATTACTCATAAGATTCCCTATTACAGAAAGTACAGAATAACTTCGGCAATATTTAATGACCAGCTGTTTTTTAGATCCATTGTGACATGGCTAGCAATTTGTGGTAACCATGATCATAATTTTATTATTGCAAAAGGCTTTTTTTTTTTTTTTTTTTTTTTTTTT